AAGCTCTTACTGCTATATATCAAAAACAAACGGCACAACTTATTGTTAATGGGGGTTTGTCAGAGGTTTTTACAATAGAAAAAGGTACTAGACAGGGATGTCCTTTGTCACCGTTGCTGTTTGTTTTAACATTGGAAATTTTGTTGATTAAAATCCGAGAGTCGCAGGAAATAAGAGGAATAGAAGTTAACAAAAAAGAATATAAGTTAAGAGCTTTTGCAGATGACTTGGTTGTTACTTTGTCTCAACCTACTTATTCTGTAGTGAAGTTATTACAGCTGATATATCAATATGGATTAGTTTCGGGTTTCAAAATTAATAATAATAAGACTAAAATATTATCTAAAAATATGACTACTTGTGATAAACAGATTTTGGCTAATTTGACTGGTTTTGAAATTGTTGATAAGATAAAATATCTGGGGGTTATTTTATCTGTTTCTAATGTAAAATTGTTTAAGAATAACTATGAAAGGTTGTGGGTCAGGGTACAAAAAGACTTGAAAAATTGGGAGAACTTACAGCTATCTCTCATGGGAAGAATTGCAGTGATTAAAATGAATGTCCTGCCAAAATTTCTCTTTTTATTTCAAATGTTACCTATTTTAAAGAATGAGGTTAATTTAAACGAATGGCAGAAAGGCATTAATAAATTTATTTGGGCAGGGAAAAAACCAAGGGTAAAGTTTAAAATTATGCAGGACTTCCGTGAGAGAGGTGGACTCAAGGTACCGAATTTGAAATTATATTATGATGCTGTGGTCTTAATATTAATTAGTGATTGGGTAAATTTAACAAATTCAGAGATACTCCACTTGGAGGGATGGGATTTACTTTTTGGTTGGCATGCCTACTTAATATTTAATAAAAAAGTGGATTGGGCCTTTAAATCTCATATTATAAGGATCTCTTTACTTAGGGTTTGGAGGAAATATTATAAAAGTGATTTTAAAATACCATTATGGCTATACCTTGGCATGCGATAGAGGGGATAAAGAGAGGTGTTAAAATGGATACGGTGTCTTATACACAATTACTTAGATGGGATGGTCAAAATTGGCAGTTAAAATCTTTGGAAGACCTAGCACATGAAAATATTACCTATTCTTGGTTTCAATATAGACAATTAGTAGATAGATGGAAGATGGACCGTAATTTAGGTCTGCTTAGAGAAGATGAAAATCTTTTTAAGCAAGTAAAGGATCAAAGACAAACTCACATTAAGAGAATTTATGGGGTGCTAGTGGAACTGGATTCAGAATCAGAATTAATTAAAGACTGTATGATTAAATGGGCGCAGAATTTTGGTGAACCAGTTCTACTGGATACCTGGGAAACTATCTGGGTGAGAAATGTTAAGTTTACACAAGCTCAGAATTTAAGGGAGAATTTTTATAAAATGTTTTACAGATGGCACCTTGATCCACAAAAGATGTCTTTCATGTATCCCGACTTACAGCCCAAATGTTGGAGATGTGGCTGCCTGGATGCCACTTATTATCATATTTGGTGGTCGTGTAAAAATATAAAAGCTTTTTGGATTAAGATATGGTGGAACATTCAGAGAATTTTTAGAAAGAGGGTAAAATTTACTCCACAATTGTTTTTGCTTGGTATTGTTACTGATTGTGATGCTAAGGAGGTTATATTGATGCTGAAACTGATTACAGCCGCAAGGCTGTTAGTAGGTCAATACTGGAAGAAGGAATCTTTGCCTACTTTGCAAGAGTGGTTTTTTAAAGTATCTTACTTGGTGAAAATGGCAAAGATTTCAGCTTTCTTAAAACAGCAAACGCAAGAGAAATTTTTTGCTGTATGGGAAAAATGGATAAATTTCATACAATTTAAACTGGATTTGAAAAAATATCATTTAGCTTTTTTATAACTTGTATAAAAACTCTACTTTTTCTTTCTTTTTTTCTTTGTTTTTCTTTTTTAAATACTTTCTCTTTTTAAGGATTATAACTCTTTTTTCATATATATTTTATTTTTAATTATCTTATAATTTTGTTATTTTTTTTTTAATTAAGCCTATATTCTGCTCTGGGAAGCTCCGGGGGGGGAGGGAGGGGTGGTTTGGGAGGGGTTGGGGGAGGGTTGTATTGTTTTGTTTTTTTTGTTGTTGTTGTTATTGTTTTTTTTCTGTCTCTGTAAAAGTTTTTAAAAATTTTTCAATAAAAAAAAAACCCTCTGAGTTCTGCCGGAAGTTATTGAATAATATGGCAACATCAGCAGGAAAGCTTAATTTTTCAGACCTTGGGGGATTGGGAGATGATATGCTTGGCTTAGACCCTATGTCACTGGTATGGTAAACCTAAACACTGTGCTGTCAAAATATTGATCTTGATAAATTTTGGTGGCTTAACTGTTCTGAGATCCAGAAAGGGAGAAATGGGGCTGGTGTACTTGGCCCACGGGTTGTCCATTTCTGTTTTCAAAGAAGTGTGCCTTGTCCTGACTTAGAAGAAGTATGCCTTGTGGACCTCACATGGGAGGAAATTCATTATTCCAGAGAGAGCATGCTTTGCCATATACCTTATTCTATATTAGTATCCTACATTTTATAGTAGAATTGTGCATAAAAACACATACACATGTACAGTGAGTAAACAAATAAATTAAAAGCATCATTTCATAATGATGAACCAACTGCACAATTAAATTCTTGTCAAAAGAGAGAGAAAAATTCAATTTTATTTTTCCATTTTTCTGATTTCTGCATCAAAGTTAATATTTTTTTAAATCAATCAAAAATTTCATTCTCATTTCCCCTGGTACAAATTTTGCTAAATATATGCACATTATGCTCTCTTATATAATACACTTCTGTATAGTTCTTTAATACACACCTTGTATGAACATTTACTAATTACGTGTTTTTTAAAAAAAATACAATATGAAGAATACTCAGAATATGAAGAAGTATAAATATTGAAAGCTGGATACTAAGTCATATATTGGTCCAAAATGGAAAATTTATTAAGATTTGTTCTCTTTTTGTTCTATATATTCATATCAATTAAACATTCTTCCATTCTGTTACCATTTAGTTTCAGGAAGATGTGGGAGAGGGTTAAATGTTCTCTATCTTAAACTATATCCCCAAATATACATATTAAGAAGATATTTAGCTATATTAATCTGTTGTTCATAAAGCAAAAGTAAGATCAATTATCCCTTCCCTTCAATGTGGCTGTGTAGGGTAGACATCCTAATTTTATGGGTACATGCAAAAAAGAAAAAAAAGTTACCTGGGAAATATAATTTGAAGCTGAAAATAACTAAAAGTTATTTGAATATAAGAAGAACATGCTGTTGCAAATCAGAACCCCGTCCAACCCAGCATCAATGAAGCCTATAAGCAGCTTTAAAATTATTTTTAAGTAACATACGTCTCTGATACAGAAGGTAACATATGCAGTTATCATAGCCTTATTGTGTTTGTCCAATCCTGTTTTAAAATGATGCGTGCAAGCCCAACTCTGGCCATCAACTTTTAAATGAATAGGGTAATATGCATAGTGGACATTGTGTTTTGCTCGTGTTGAATCCATGTTTTTGGATAAATGAAAATCACAGGCTTCTCTCTTTCTCCATCATATAGTCAAGTAACTCTTCTACCACAAAACATAGTCTGTACAGTTTGCGTTGGCTCTGAAAACAGGCAAGACTAAAGAGGGTATCCAGTACTGCATGGTCCATCATTTTTATTTATTTGCCTGTTACATTTATATCCTGCCTTTTCATTGAAGAACTCAAATAGTATACATAATGCTTCATAAATTTCCTTTATAAATCTGTGATATAGGTTGGGCTAAAGAAAGTGACTTCCCATAGTAATCTAGTACACTTCTGAGACTGACAGTCAATTAGAAGGCGGGTCTCTCAGTGACGGTCCAAGACCTTAACCACTAGACCACATTGTCTCCCTCTCTCTGATGATTATGGTCTTGATGAAATTCAGTAGATCTGATTTTAGTTAGGGCATAAATTATATGGGAAACCCAAGGACTCCACCTCTGGCTGTATGATGGAAGAAAACTGTAATGGAAGCTAGCATAGTATTGAGAAATATGGTAATTTATTAATAAACATTAGTTAATAATTGTTATTATATAATTCTTCATTAGTTGCCTATTCAACAATGACTACTCCGAGCTTACGTTTTTAAAGGCTTAGCAGTACCTCCTAGAGGCTGTTGCCCGTTTTTCTCTGGACAGTGTTAGGAACTTAACCACTTAGTTGCTTATAAATCCTGCTTCCGGAGCAAACCATCCTCAGGTTTCTATCCCATCGGCAGACGGCACGAGGGGATCTTGCCTGCCAAAGATTACTTGAGTGATCTGCTTTAAATCGATTTCCCTGGCTTCGGGGCGAAATTTATGAGCCTGAAGCTATGATGAGGAAGCGTTGGCGGGCATTCAAAGGAGCGCTCTGTGACCGGCGCGGGGGACAAAAGTGTACAAAGGAGGAAAGTACAGAGGGAGGGAGGACGGGGTGGGGAGTAGTCCTCCTCCTCCTCCTCCTCCTCCTCCTTTCCCTCCTGCAACTACCCAGCATTTCCCTTTCCCTTTGCCAACTGTTTTCAGGGCTAATTACTGGCATCTCAGGCAGCGCTGCGCGATGGTATTTGCGCGAGAGAAATCCAGGCAGGAGGGGACGGGCCTCCCTGCAGGGCTTTATACTTGACTCCAATCGTTAGGGCTACAGGATGGTTATGGATGATTTACAGCGAGGAGGAGAACAATCATAAGAACACACTTTCCCCAATAAACGTAAGCGCTGTCCTGAGGCTCGCCTCTCCCACGGTCCTTCCAATCTCCTGAAAGTACGTCCCGATTTCCAGGCGCAAACGTCCCCCTCCGGCAGGCGCTCAGAGCTCAGCCTCGCGCTCCAGTTCCCGGTCAAGTATTCGCTTGCGCTTGTTTGCATTTCTCTCCCTCCCTCCCACTCTCCCTCTCACCCACCCAACCAGTAGCACGTGCGGGCCGGCGGCTCACCTGAAAAACAGTTTGGAGAAAACGTTCGCCTTCTCCAGAGGGGACCTCTGCATGGTCCCCCACCGGCAGGGCTGCTGGGCGTAGCAAGCAAAGGAAAAAGGAGGGACGGGTTTCCCTCAGCGGACTGCGCCGTTTATAGTCTCGCCTTCCCCCCATAAAAGGGGGACAAACCACGGTTTGCACCGCTGTCTCCAACCTTATCGGACTCTGAGGTCACCGCCTCTCTCCTTCTCCTGCCCCTCACCCCGCCTTTGCAACCGGCCCGGCTTCATAAGCCGGCCCTCCGATTCACGCCCGGGACAACGCAAAGGCCCCGCTCTCGTCGCGCGCTGCAAGAGGCGCTCCTCGCGGCAGGTGCCTCTCTCCGTCGGAGCGCGCGCCCTCCCTCCCGGGGAATTCGCCCCGCGAGTTCCCTCCGCGCGAAGAAGCCGCCGTTCCCTCGTTCGCCTTCTCACTCCTTCCTTTCAGCCTTGCTTAGCGATCACCGCAGCCTCGAAGGAGGAATCGGATTCCCTGAAGGTTACCGCCGGTGGTTGTTTCCTTCCGCGGGGTAGCTGGCCGCTTGCCGTCTTCAGAAAGCAGCTCTTTTCCCATTAAGCTTTGTGCTGCAAACAGGACTGGAGCCCGGTCGTGTATTAAATGTCAAGACTTCGACTAAAGCTTGCCAGCAGTAGCAATAAAGAACGCACACTCGTGGCGTCTTGCTAGACGCGCGTATGCGCCTGGCACCTGGGTTTTTTCAGAAAATTTCAGGTGCTACTCTTTTCCGCTTAGCGGCTGGCTATGAAGAACTTGCTGGAGTATTCGTGGGTCGTGCTAAGTTGAGCTAGTATTAATTTTGGCTTTATGTTTTGGCGGCTTAAGCTGTTGTGCAAAGCAGCCCATTTAATTCGTGTAGGGTTCCGTCTGTGTCCCAACCGAGAAAACTGGTCCAGGCATCTACCCTGTTAAGTGTATGGCACGAATGCAGCTTTTCGGAAGGGATTTATGGTCCTGGAGCAACTGTGCTCCTTTTCAACTTCTAAGTATTCTTTTGTGTGATGCAAAGGTTCACATCACGTCCATTTCCTTATAGAGTCACTCCCCTAAAGATTATAGTGGCAGCTAGTTTTTTAATCATAAACTCCTTACTTCTGTTACATAAGGTGAGAATAGGGCACATTTTTGTTTTCCCACAACAGTTGATCAAACCCCAACTAGGAATGTTTGCTCTGAATGACACCAGGCATCTTCATCGGCACATCAAACAGGCAAACACTAGGCCAGCTGACAAGTGAGAACTCTGCTCACTTTGTTTTTTGCTGGCAGAGTTAATTTTACTCTGTGAGAACATTAAAAAAAGTGGTCTGTCAACTGGGTCTGAAATGATGTGTGGTTCCTGGGCATTGTTTACCTGGGTGTTATAGATGGAAAGGGGACAGTCTCTTTGGCTAGCATTGCAATGACAGGGAAGAACAAAGGATTGCTTTGCTGCACATCTATAGGAGCCAATGCCAGCATCCAAGAAGGAAGTCTCCTGTAGAGCTGATTGGTTTCTTGGAAAAAAAATCGTCAAGGGCAGGGAGTCTGCAGGTTTCAGGGTAATTTGCCACCAGCTCATAAAGCCCCCCCCCCACAAAGCTGTTTATTATCTGCATGGAAATATATGGCCTAAGTATCATTCAATGGCACAAATGCATGACAAATTCATGTGATGACATGGTCTTTAACTGTATGATAACAATGCTTATCCAATGGGTAGTAGGTGCGTGTTATGTTATGCAATCTTGGGTGTGATTTTGCTACTTCCCTCACCATATATCAAGTTGCTTAGCCAGGTAAACAAATACCTGGACATAAATCATTTCGCTACATCAGACACACAGGAGCTATGGGAAGAACATTATACATTATATTGAGCCGAGGTGGCGCAGCAGTTAGAGTGCAGTACTGCAGGCCACTTTAGCTGACTGTGTTCAGCAGGTCAGCAGTTCAAATCTCACCGGCTCAAGGTTGACTCAGCCTTCCATCCTTCCGGGGTAGGTAAAATGAGGACCCAGATTGTTGGGGGCAATGTAAATATATATATATTTTTCACGGGTATTTGTATGTAGGTCTTTGGTTGTTCGGGTTTTCTCCCACGTAAAATTGGAAGTGTCTTGGCGACGTTTCGACGAAGTCCCATTCGTCATCTTCAGGCTGGTGCTTTCAGCTTCGTGCCTCGAGCAGCAATGTGTGGTCTTAGCTGTTTCTTCCTTTTAACTGCCAGTGGGGGTATGAACTGATTGGGTGGGAGCTTGGCTGTGTTCTGATTGGGTGGAGGTGTGTTCTGATTGGTTAGGGGCTTGGCTGTGCTCTGATTGGCTGGGGGGTTGGCTGTGCTCTGATTGGCTGGGGGGTTGGCTGTGCTCTGATTGGCTGGGGGAGTGTTCTGTTTGGTTGTGCTCAGGTTAGTCTGAGTTGCAGAGGGATTCAAGATTTTGGGCTGCCCTGCCATTCCTTGGCTTCGCGTTCGTGGTCGTGCTTCCTCTTCATGGAGGGTGTCAGTTTGCTTCATGTATGGATTGGGGGGGTTTAAAGTGGCTAATGATGCAGCTGTGGTCTGGCTTCTGGTTTGTGGTCGTGCCTCATAGTCAGTGTGGCTTTGGGTTTGTTTTTTGCGTGGATGTTTGGTGGTGACCTCCTGTGTGGTTTTTGTGAGTGTGGGTCTGGTATCATTTTTTGTGTTAGGGAGTCGTTTGTCAATGAGGGCGGGTTTCCAAATGGCTGGTAGGCGGGAGGTATCATCTCGCTTGTTCATGCTGTGTGGGCGTTTTTCTATCTCGATGGCTTCTCTGATTATTCTGTTATTAAAATGTTCACTTTTGGCAATGGTTCTGGTATTTTTAAAGTCAATTTCATGTCCTGTAGCTTTAAGGTGTTGGACCAGGGAAGATGTTGGTTCCTCTTTTTTGATTGAGTTCTTATGTTCTTCAATGCGTGCACTTATTCTTCTGTTGGTTTGTCCGATGTATGTGGTGGGACAAGTGGTGCATGGGATTTCGTATACTCCTTGATTTTCTAATTCAATTTTATCTTTGGGGTTTCTAAGGATGGTGGATATTTTTCTGTTTGTGCAGAATGCTGTTTTGATGTTGTGTTTATGGAGGATCTTACTGATTCTGTCTGTGATGCCTTTTATGTATGGGAGGATGGCTTTGCCGTTTTCTTGTTCTTTGTCTTGGATTTTAGTGGGGGTTTCTTTTTGGATTAGGTTTGTAATCTTATTTCTATGGAATCCATTGGATGTTAGTACATTGGTGAGAGTGTGTAGTTCGGGCTTTTAGGTGTTGTTCGTCAGCTAAGCGTTTTGTTCTGGAGATGAGTGTCTTGGCTACAGAGTTGATCTGTGCTGGGTGGTGGTGTGAGAGAGCGTGCAGATAGCGGTTTGTGTGTGTTTTCTTCTGGTAGATGGTGTGTCCTAGGGAGCCATTGGATTTCTTGTAGACTAAGACATCCAGGAAGGGAAGTTGGTTGTTAGTTTCTGTTTCCATGGTGAACTGTATTTTGGGGTGTAGGCTGTTGAGGTGTGTGAGGAAGTTGTCCAGTTTTTCTTTCCCATGTGGCCAGATTATGAAGGTGTCGTCTACGTATTGACAAACGACTCCCTAACACAAAAAATGATACCAGACCCACACTCACAAAAACCACACAGGAGGTCACCACCAAACATCCACGCAAAAAACAAACCCAAAGCCACACTGACTATGAGGCACGACCACAAACCAGAAGCCAGACCACAGCTGCATCATTAGCCACTTTAAACCCCCCCAATCCATACATGAAGCAAACTGACACCCTCCATGAAGAGGAAGCACGACCACGAACGCGAAGCCAAGGAATGGCAGGGCAGCCCAAAATCTTGAATCCCTCTGCAACTCAGACTAACCTGAGCACAACCAAACAGAACACTCCCCCAGCCAATCAGAGCACAGCCAACCCCCCAGCCAATCAGAGCACAGCCAACCCCCCAGCCAATCAGAGCACAGCCACGCCCCTAACCAATCAGAACACACCTCCACCCAATCAGAACACAGCCAAGCTCCCACCCAATCAGTTCATACCCCCACTGGCAGTTAAAAGGAAGAAACAGCTAAGACCACACATTGCTGCTCGAGGCACGAAGCTGAAAGCACCAGCGTGAAGATGACGAATGGGACTTCGTCGAAACGTCGTCAAGACACTTCCAATTTTACGTGGGAGAAAACCCGAACAACCAAAGACCTACATATATATATATATATATATATATATATATAATATATATATATATATTGCTTACTGGTGTACACCGCTTAGAGAGTGCTTGCACTTAAAGCGGTATATAAGTCTCATAAATAAATAAATAAATAAATACAATCAGATCAGTGCTGAAGACAGCTCAAGGTACCATAGAAAAAGGATAATTAAGATAATTTATTATATATGGGCTAATGGGTGGTAGGAATAGTGAATCCGGTGGGAGGTAAGTACTCTGATATGTATGAGACTTGGGCTCGGCCCATGGGAAGTGGGAGATAAGTATATGTGAGATGTGAGCGTAGTCAGGACCTGGAAAGATCCAAGCTCAGCCCAGGTTGAGGAAAATCATAGCTCACTATGGATTACATAAACTACCAACTTTAACTGGGCGGGAATTACTCTGGTAATTAACAGGAAGATTGGGTGTGTGCATTTATTTCTCCTTAGATATAACCAACAAAATTGTAGTATCTATCCACTTTCTAGAGCAAATTGCCATGTATTTTATTCATCACACCCCTCTTTTATTTAAACAACCCTCTTCTACATCATCCTCCTTATCCAATTCCAATACCCAGAGATCAAAGAATCAAAGATGAGAAAGTTGGAAGAGATATGGATATTGTCAGCTGTCATCTGCCTGCTGCTGACAAACTCCAGACACAGAAGGAACAAGTGACCAGCAAACTTTAATGCAAAGAAAAAGTCAGCGCTGGGAGTGAATTGCTCCCAGCGCTTTACATAAATGTGCCCCGCCCACCAACCCCACCCCAATCAGCAAGCCAGCATCCGGTCCGTATGGATAAAAGTTGTATTTCAATGTCCGCTTTCCCCCCCCTTCAGACACACCAACGCAGCCTCTGCTGTTCCAGCTGTTCTGTCTGGCAACCAGGCAGCACTCCGCCTCCTCCCCCCTGCACCCGGAGAGAGGGAGAGGCGGCTGAGGCAAGAAATAATCCCCCCGGTGTCCGGCTGGCCTGTCTCAAACGTCCAGCTGGCCGCAGGGACGTCTCCGGCACCCGTATCCATGGAGGGAGGCACCCGCGGCGCATGGCGGCCCCACCGACTCCCAGCTGATGGCCGAGAGCCGGGCCAACTCCTAGCTGATTCCTGGGAGCCGGGCCGACAAGCGGAGACTGGGCCGACTCCCAACTGTTTCTTGGGAGTTGGGTGGCGCATGGTGATTCCGTCGAGTGCCAGCTGACGTGCACACACTGAGCTGACTCCCAGCTGGCTGTCGGGAGCCGGGCAGTGTATAGTGGTCCCACCAACTCCCTGCTGACATCCGGACGCCAACCCGACTCCCAGCTGACTGTCAGGAGACAGGCGGTGCTCATGGCCCCCATGCAGACATCGGCCGGCTGCTGGCTGCATCTTCTCCGTCTCCCACCGGCTCATGGCAAGCCCAAGGGCTTGACAGGCAGCCCCTTCTACCAGGGCCCTTCCTAGAAGGCAAACAGAGGCAGGTGAGCATACAACAACTCTATTGGATCCCTCTGCAGACCCACCTCCTGGCTTTCCAAGGTGCTGGTGATGGAAGGCCTGCACTAGCCGCGGGACGTGAACATCCTCCCTCCACACCCACTATGCCTCCAAAAGAGGGTACCCTTTCCACTTGACTAAATATTGGACCTGTTTGTGATGGATTCGGGAGTCTCTAGTACTGGTCGTTAGAGACTGGGCCCTGTAGCTTGTTTACCAGCCCGTGTGGGGACCCTTTCACTAGTTTTAACAGGCTCCCATGGAACACAGGGTGCACCTTCCTGAGGGTCCAAGGCAGTCGCAACCTTACAGTTACTGGGTTAACAACCTGGACCACTTGGAAAGGCCCTACATACTTGGGGCCCAGTTTCTTACAGGGCACCCCCAACCGTAGGTATTTGGTGGACAGGTTCACCCAATCGCCCACCTG